CATAATGATACATTCCAAAAACAAAAAGATTTTGTCGAATAAAACCCATCAAATTTCATACTGTATTTTGTTTTTGTTTCTTTTTGGTTTACAAATTTATTTTTTTGTTTGTTTTCCTCATTAAGAGTTTGTTTTTATTTCAGAAATAAACTATTGTATAAAACTTTTATAGAAGTCTTTATATTTGGAATTTATTTGGTTTAATCATTCAGATAACTTTATATATATATATATATATATATATATATATATATATATATATATATATATATATATATATATATATATATATATATATATATATATATATATATATATATATATATATATATATATATAAAACCATATTTAACTAAAAAACAATTTTCTGTTTGTTTCAATGCAGCTCATTAATCATTTAACAAAAAAACAACCTCCAATTTGTTTTATTGAAACTAATTAATGGAAAAGATTTAGAGTGTTTTCTTTTTGACAAAAAAAAATTGTTAAACTAAAAAAAATAACGGTTAAACATATAAAAACCAAACTATAATGACTTTTATGATATATATATAGCCTTTAAATTACTTATCCCTTTTATCATAACAAAAAAATTAACGTTTCTAGTTGCCAAAGAGTACAACAAAATTGTAATATTCAACAATAAATGGACATAAATTACTTCTTATATAAAGACAATTTGCGTGAAAGATTAGTCTTTAATATATTTTTACATCAGTTGTCATCGAACAAACAAGTAAATATCATTCTTTTTGGATATTTTTGATTTTTTGGTCTTAAATCCTTACTCTTCCATCTATCGAAGAAGTAACTCGAATCAACATTGTTGTTTTATCATTGCAACTCAACGGATTATTTGGATGTTTGTTTTATGTGTCACTCAGTATTCCTTTAGTTATTTCCTTTTACTAATACGAATGATTAAGTTGTTTCATATCTCTTCCACGAGCTTCCAAGTGCATGTCATCTTTTTCTTAGTTGGTTGGTAGCTAAGGTGCCACAAGCGTAAGTGTCATGTAAATCATATTCAGAGATTGCTTTTAGGTTCAATCGACTTGTTAACCTCCTAACAGTTAACATGAAGGTCATAAGGTGTTTTTCTAATTATCTTATTCTTTGTTAGATAACAAATCATATGAAAACACGTGCAATTCATCATTACTTAGAGTATAATATCAAAAGGTAGGATAGCATGGACGATGACCCAAGAACTATAAATTTTTGGGACCCATTTTTATGTATCTATTTATATTATTTTAGAAATGAAAAAACTTTTGGTATTATAGGTAGATACAAAAAAAGTATTTTTATTTTTTATTTTTTATTATTATTTTTTTTTTGGGGGGGGGGGGGCTTCAAATCGGCTTGACCATAATTACTAATTTTTAATGCAAAATACGAGTAAAAAAACTAAGTTGTGAAACTGTTGAAGAGTTCCCAAACACTTTTTAAATTTGTTCAAAAGGTTTCAAAGTGATCTCTCTAGGTAAAAAAATTTACCCAGTTTAAATAAAGATTCCAATAAAAAACTTACCAGTCTTTTATAATAAAAACAAAACTATATATATAAATTGAGATGTCAAATAAACATTTGATATTTAAAAAAAAAAAAAGAAAAAGAGCTGATATAGTAAAAATATAATTATTTATTTAGATACGTTCTTGACTGTTTGATAAATTTTGCTTTCAGAAAATAGTTAAAATTTTGCCATAATAATGTGAAAACTAGAAACATTTTTATAAGTGACGGACATTTAATTGAAATTAAAATTAAGTTGACCGTTATTAATTGTAAAATATTGTGATGTAACTCGGTCCTTAAATTTTACAAAACTCGATGATGTCGTGTCGATCCTAGCAATTTATTATTCATTATTCATTATTATTCATATAGTAGCAGTAGCAAACACTAAAATCATAGAATTGCAGAGAAAACTATTCGTAACCTGAAAGGAATTTCCCAAAATATAGAAAAACTAATCCAACAAAATCAAATCAGACAAACACCCCGCGTCTTCTTCATCTTCTCTCTCCCACAATCCATAAACCCCCGTCTGTTCCTCACTGTTATTACTTTTGCGCACAATATTGTCTCCACCGACAGATTGAAACCCCAACCAGGTAAATCTTCCTTTATATTCTTGATGAACTTAGTAAATTTCATTTAAATGTAACGGATTTGCTTAATTTGGTTTTTATTGACTCGGTGTGGCGTTTTTGAGCTCCGATTTTGATCACAAAATCAAAACAGTTTTTAGGATCAGAAATGAGTGGTCTATGTTCATCTCGATATGCATACAGTTTCACTAGGTTTTCGTGTTGATTTCCATGAACAATGACGAGTATGCGTTGAGTCGTTGACTACACTGTTCAATGGGTTGGGGTTTTAAGATTTTCTTTACGTGATTGAGAATTAATGTGTAAATTGAGCTCGATTTATCGATTTATAACGTGTTTTCCGTGTTTACGTTATTCCATTTTTGTTGCTATCTGGTTTGTCTGATCTTATTAGCGGAATTCTTTATTGTTTTTATCGATTTAGTTATCTTGCATAATATCATTCAATTATTAAACAAATTCAGAAAAATCGAACTTAGTGTTCTTGATGTTAACCGCTGCAGATTTGACTTCTGAGAATCCGATTAAATCAGGCGTTGGTTCGTATTTGAACATCTTGTGGGACTAATTCGGTTACAAATTCGTGAAGAAAAATGATGTAAATGAGCAGAAATTACAGGATTCGAGCAACGATGATCAGACTTAAGGAAATAAAATCTCTTCACTTCGAGAAACGATGGGCGTTCCCCATAGCCATGGCTTCAATCGTATCTCTTTTCCTCTTAGCCACATGTTTCAATCTTGGCACTGTATCTTCCTCATACAAAACAATTTTTCCATTATCCGCAAATAAAAACGCCATGAATTTTTCTGAAGAAAACATTCAACCCCCACCTCCATCTCCTCCACCTCTTCCTCGTTTTGCTTATTTAGTATCCGGATCAAAAGGGGATTTAAACAAACTATGGAGAACACTTCAAGCACTATATCATCCATGGAACTATTACATTCTCCATCTCGATCTCGAATCCCCACCCGAAGAAAGAATCGAACTCGCTTCACGGGTCGAAAACGATCCAGTTTTTACTGCAATCGGGAACGTTTACATAATCTCAAAAGCTAACATGGTTACATACAGAGGTCCAACAATGGTGTCAAACACACTTCACGCATGTGCCATTCTTCTTAAAAAGAATAAAGATTGGGATTGGTTTATAAACCTCAGTGCCTCCGATTACCCCCTCGTAACTCAAGATGGTTTGTTCTTCATCTCCCATATCTTAATTCTACATCAGTTTCATCAATCCTCCATATCGGTTTCATTTTCTTCAACTTAATCGCATTGCAGATCTTATCTTTGCATTTCGTGATCTTAAACGCGACCTCAACTTCATCGAGCACACAAGCCATTTAGGGTGGAAAGAGTAAGCATAAACTGTATATCAACCCAAAGTTACACACTATCCATGTGGGCCCGGTTATTACATTTATAAGTTTTTATGCAGGCACAAAAGGGCAATGCCGTTGATGGTGGACCCCGGACTATACCAGAACAAAAAGTCCGATATTTTTTGGGTGCAACCGAGAAGGGCTCTCCCGACAACCTTTAAATTATTTACAGGTAAGTATTATGTTACATGCTAATACTGCTACTGGTACTGATACTGATACTGTTCTAGGATCGGCATGGATGATTCTATCGCGATCATTTGTGGAATATTGCATATGGGGATGGGACAATCTACCAAGAACTTTATTAATGTACTACACGAATTTTGTGTCGTCTCCGGAAGGTTACTTTCAAACAGTAATATGCAATTCCCCGGAATTTATTCCAACGGTAGTAAACCATGATATGCATTATATTTCATGGGACACTCCTCCAAAACAGCATCCTCATGTACTCACCTTAAATGACACGACTAAAATGATAGCAAGTGGAGCCGCATTTGGGCGTAAGTTTAAGGAAAATAGTCTTGTTTTGGATAGAATTGATAAGATGTTGTTACACCGGAGGAATGGGAGTTTCACACCTGGTGGGTGGTGTAAGGGTGAACCTAAATGCAGTAAGGTGGGGAAACCAACACGGATTAAACCGGGTCTAGGTGGTCAAAGGCTGAGTCAACTTATAGGCAAGTTACTTGAACAACCCAAGTTTAATGAAAGTCAATGTCGATAGATGATATGATGTTTATGTAGATTGGGAATTAGTGTTTGCTACTTTACTATATGCCATATGCTATAGAATTTTTGTTGTCCAACAAAGGATTAAATTTGAATTAATGTGCGACGTTTTTTTGTTATTTGTTTTGAGTTTCCATTACCACAATTCAACTTTTTAAAGTTACACCAACATTCTTTTATATAAGTTTATCATACATTCTTTGTGATACATTCGATTCTATAAAGTTTATTGGATTGCAAGTTTAAAATGCTATGAATTGTATAAATATTTTTGAAGGTACAATACCTGCAAAATACAATAATTAAATATTATCATAGCGTAACTAACACCTAAACTACAAATTACTTAAATAAATACTCATTTTATGAAGATTGTTATGTAATTTTCTATTAATTAGTTTTTTAATTGTTTATTAATAAAACTAGTTATACTAGTTATTACTTTTTTAATAAATAAAAAAATAAAAAAATAAAAAACTAAAATAAAGAGGTTTGAATTTTTTGTTTAATTGAATTTTAGATTATTCTTATTGATTTATCAAAACTATTTAAAAAAAATTAAGTGTTGTTTGATAGAAAATGTAATTGGCCTACCATTGAACGCGGTATCTATCATCTTTCCTTCAAATCCTGGTTAAACCCCCTCACATTGGGATATCTTAAGGCATTATTTCATAAATCAATCTAATAAATTATACAAGTATATAGTTTTTTTTTTTAAATGGAGAAAAGAGCGATTAAGTAAAGAAATCCATGACTAATAAACTACTTAATCCGATAAACTATATACGACTGTTTCTTTAAGCATTCTATATCTAAGAGAATAATTTTTCCAAACAAAATGTTGTATATGACTTATATACATGAATATGACTTTCCCCCCATGTTTTACCTCTCTACTGAGTTTTATACACAAGATCTGCATATACCCTAATCCTAAAACTTGTATAATTTGAAAACTAAACCATCTCCAAGATTTTGATATTTCCCATAGAATTTGCAGCAACTAACGTGGAGGACTGGTTTCGCCAACAAACAGATGAAATGAATTGTTCGTTGCTATCCACTTCATTTCCCGATATTGGATCTGTGGCCTTGAATTTATACGACAACGCAGGCATAGGGAAAGCCTTGTGGTAGATGAATACCTGTTCACATGTCAACAAACAACACATCAACATGTCAACAAACAACACATCAACATGACATGACAAAACAAGTTGTTCTGCATTTGACCTTTCCCTGACAAAACATCATGTCAGTCAATGAGACAAAGATTACAACTTTTTGTCCAACACAAAAAGTTGAGAATCTGTAAAAGACGTGAATGTCCTCCTCATCCTTATCATTAAAAAAAAATTGTTCAGTCAAGTCCAGTCCAATCCAGTCATGTCCCATGTAACAAACGCATCCAAATCTGGGAAGTACCTCATTTGTTTCTGAACCAGTAGCAATGTAGCCATCCGATACAGATAAACCAACAAAATTCTGCAAAACACACACACACAAATACTTATGAATTTATATAATCCACTCACTCTGGATCAACTTAAAAGCATGATGGAATTAAGTGATACCTTCATGTTGACATGGCCAGTGAATGACTGAAGTGGGCGATCAAGAACTCGAGACGTGCAATCCGACAAATCCCAGAGCTTCATTGTGTTATCAGTAGACGATGATACAAGAGTTTTTGAATCTACAAACTTGATGTAACTAACGGTTTTCTTGTGTCCAAACAATGTGCAAAGTGGTATGCTCAAATTTCGTAGATCATAGTAATATACTATATGATCTGCTGACCCAAATGCAACAAAATTACTAGAATCACATGGAAACTTAACACAACACACATTCGCCTTTGTTTTAATCGTACCAATACTCCCTCCCTGCAGCACCAGTAACAAAAACAACTTATCAAGTGTCCAGACAGTAACCAGTAGACAGTAACCATACCTGATTAATGTTCCAAAGCTTAACAGAACCATCATCACTACCACTCGCGAGCAATGTGGGGTCCACCGAGAAGTCAACAGACCAGACACGTCTCTCGTGCTCTCTCATTTCCGCGGATACTTGATTTTGAGTAACATCCCAAATCTGGTTTTTTTCGAATTAAAAAAAAAAAAAAAAAAAAAAAAGTGATGATTATATTAAATTATATAAAAGACATGATTTGGATTATAATTAATTACCTGCACAAGACCTTCAAAATTACTTGATGCAATCTGGCTTTTGATGTATCGATTCCAGGAAATACTGCTTAGTTTTGATCTGGTTGGGATTTCAACAATAGGGAAGTGAATGTCTCGATTCTCATTCAAGATTGAATCATATTCAAAAACTTTGATTTTCTTATTTACACCCGCTGTTGCAAAAAACTCCCCATCACGATCAAATCCCAATGAGCATACAAGGTTTGAAGAATTCAAAAGATCACTTTGTTTCAACTCTGCCTTCACTTCTAACTTACTGTATGACATGTACTTTGAAAGTCCCTCCAAGAATGGATTGCTATTTGGTTTCGATGTTTTATGTCGAGTTGAAAAGTATGCCGATTCTAGTTTCTTGAAGTTTTTCATCAATCTTGAACATTTGGGAATGCCATTTTCTTGATTTTCTTGTGTTCTAATGCGTTTTCTGGAATTGTCATTTTGAGAAGGCGAAACCCCAAAAACCGAATTAGACCCTCCTTTTTTTCTAATTGAACTTTGAGAATTTGTAACTTGTTGCAAATCAGAAGACAGAAATGTAACATCTCTATGCAAGTAATCTAAAGCTTCTTGCTTTCTCTGTTTCAGCTCTAAAAGAAACTCCAGCAACATCTCCTGCTCGACTATCTTTTCTTCAAGCTCTATTGCAGCTTCTCTTTCATCCAACTTTTCTTTAGGTTCACTAAGAAACTCACTTTGTAACACTTCACTGAAAGATAGTGCAACGAACAACAATTTAATAACCATGAATAACAAATTAATAACAATTAATAGGGAACTCACTGTATTTTTGGCCTGCTAGCTGGATCAGGGTGAAGTAAGCGCATGGAAAAGAAGGCTTCTTTTGGCCACTTGCAGTGAAACTGTGGAGGAAAGAGGCGGTGTTTGAGGGTAGACATGGTTGCGTTTTTTTCTTCTGGTGAACTACAAGGGCAATATAACTGTTGATGGAAATAAACCCAACGTGGGTTATGGAATAAGATAACCCATAGTGTAAACCTGAAGGTGAAGTCATAAGACGTACATACCTCAAAAAGAAGAACCCCAAGTCGATAAACATCAGAAGAACAAGAAGTTGGACCTCCGGCAGCCTCCTCCGGCGAAGTATACCACTTCATTTCCATATGTAGAATCTGTTTCATGGGAAACACATGTTTCGTTTCTTCTACATCTTCTTCTTGTTGTTTAACAATAACTTGTTTGTTTTCTGATGTGTTACGGAAATCATTTGGCAAGTTCTTGTAAGAATCGGTTTGGCTGCTTGATACATCCTGGTCAGAATCTGAACTTGAATCGGAGCAGGAAGCAGATTCGATAAACGATACATGAGAAAACGATGACATGACAAAGCAGGAAGGTCGAATGTTATGAACCAGAAGCCCTTGGGAATGTGCGAGGCTTACAATTTTTACTATCTGCATAAATATATGCATGTTTTCAAGGGCGTCAATAGATCTTTCTCTGTTGTCTAGCCACTGTCTCAAGCTAATATCCTTGGGATCATGATCAGTGTCGCCGGAGAACCGGGGAATGATGGCCGGAATTGATCTCTGCGTCTGCGAACCAGACTCAGATGAAGTATCCATGTCACCCGGCTATTGCTCCGTAAAAATCAATCAAAATCCTTTCGGTTCTACAACATGTCGTCACTTCCAGTAACCCCATCGTGAATCAGAACATTTCAGATCCAAAAACCATCTTCCAACTTTGAAATTATACTCCGGTTCTTAGCAAGCCCTTTCTATGTGCCTAATTTCAGAAAGCATGGTAATAGATAAAAAGAAGTGTGGTATTAGTAGAGTGGAAGTACCAGTGAGCACCATGGAAGGAGCTTGAGAGGTTCTGTAAAGGAGAACCACAGAAATCAAATCGTTTGTTGGAAAGAAAGTGAAGTGTTGGTGTGTATAATCTGTTTGGTTTGGTTTGGTTTGGTTTGACACAGTGGAAGAAATAGAAATAGAATCTTCCCCTGAAAACCGGTGGCCATTCATTTGACTTGTTTGTAAATCAACATGTTTCAGATATGAAAGAAATATAATAATAATAATAATAATAATATTTACATAAATTAATTAAAAAAGACCAGATATGATGATGATGTAGAAGCAGCTTCTTTTGAAGCCCTAAACTGAACCATCGATCTGTAACCCACACTTATTTACACCTTTTGCTTTGTTTTTCATTCAAGTACGTGGCATATTCACGTCCTTTAACCCAACCCCACCTCATTTCCACATCTTATGGTGGAAGATTCCGGGAATAGGACTTACTAAAATTAATTTTTCAGATATAAATAATTATATTTTTTTTACATATCTAGATAATAAATTTTTTGAAAATATTTACATATGATCATTATAACCTGCTATAGCAGATTACATCTAGCTATAACAGTTCATAATGGTTATATGTGAATATTTTCAACAAGTTCGTTACCTATATGTGTATAAAAAAATAGTTATCTAAATATGAACAAAACAAAAAGTATGAATAATTACAGGAATGGTCCCTATGGTTTGGGTAAATTTATGTGTTTGGTCCATAACTTATTTTTTTAACTCGGATGGTCCCTACTGTTTATTTTTGTTGCGCGCTTAGTCTTTGTCTTACCTAAAAAGACTATTGTGCCCTTATTAATTAATTTTTTTAATTAATTTTTTTATTTATGTATTTGTTTTTATATGTTTACAAAAATTAATAGACCCCACATCTGTATCTCCTTGCCGTAAACCTGAAACCACATTTTAAAATTTTAATTTGATTCGCATCGGTCACCATCCAATCTCTCATCATTTTCAACTACTATTTTCTTTCCATCTTTAGTGACATGGAAGTCTTCATCGTTCTTTTTTTGTCCTTCAACTCTGGCGAACAAACACCATAACACATTGTTTGTTCACTTTAATGGGTTGTGGTGTTGGTTCACTGGAGTTGAAGGACCGAAAAAGAATTGATGGTGAAGACGTCGATATCATTAAAGATGGAAAATAAATAAAAGTTGAGGATGATGAAAGATAGAATGGTGAGGAGATACATATATGTGGAGTCTATTAGTTTTTTAAAATATAAAAAAAATACATAAATAAGAAAATTAATTAAAATAAATAAATTAATAAGGGCATAATAATTTTTTTGGGTAAGACAGGGACCAAGCGCAACAAAAATAAACAAGATGGATCATCCGAATTAAAAAAATAAGTTAGGGATCAAATGCACAAATTCCTCCAAACCACAGAGACCATTCGTCTAATTTACTCTTACTTTTGGTTTTGTTCATATTTGGATAACTATTTTTATTTTGTATACATCTAAGTAACAAACTTGTTGAAAGTGTTCACATGTAACCATTATGATCTACTGTAGCCAGATGTAACCTGCTACAGCAGGTCATAATGGTTATATGTGAACAGTTCTAAAAAATTTGTTATATAGATGTATACAAAAAAAAGATAGTTACCTACATATAAACATACCCAAAAATTAAGTACTTTAATTAGTCTTATTCCCATTAACTTATTTTATTTTGAAGGTAAAAAACTCATAATTTACCCATTCCTCTTTCTTACCTAAAAATAAAGAAAAGAAATAGTTGGAATCGGAGATGACACATGCTAGACAATAGAAGGATAAGACTAAAAGAATGAAATTACTAGAAAAAAGTGCATAAGATAAGATCAAAAGGGCGTTGTTGGTGTTCCTAAATTATGTAGCGTTGTTTTTGTAGATACGTGCATGAACCAAAAATTACCAAAGTTATTTTGAAAATGATATTATTTGGTGGTCAATGGCATGGAAGCGTTGAGCGGTAAAGTGAGCAGGTGTATAATCTAATTTTTTTAGGGTCTATTATTATTATTATTATTATTATTATTATTATTATTATATATATATATATATATATATATATATATATATATATAGATCCGGTAAGAAGTTTTTTTTCTACATATTTTTTTGACGAACAAAAAAATTGAATTACTAGATGATTCATTTGTAAGATGATTCACAAGAAAAAATTCTCAAAAAAAACATCTATATGATTCATTTTTAAGTAAATTAAGAAAAAATCCACTTTTATGACAATTTTAGTGAATAACAACAAAATCATTATATAAAAAAATCATCGAGATGTTTTTTTGAGAATTTTTTCTTGTGAATCATCTTACAAATGAATCATCTAATGATTCATTTTGTTTGTTCGCGAAAAAAATATTTAAAAAAAAACTTTTTACCTTTCTACCAATAATTTACTTCTTATTTGATCTTGACTCTCTCTCTCTCTCTCTCTCTCTATATATATATATATATATATATATATATATATATATATATATATATATATATATATATATATACACACATAATAATAAAAACTTATAGTAACAATAAGAGCATATTTTTCTATCTCGTCCTGAACATTTGAAGATATTTAAATCATCGGCCCTAATAATGATGACATAATTAGGATAATAATAGAGAAGACAAATCAAGCAATTTTTATTTATTATTTTTCATAGATTTGGGTTTAATATTAAACCAGAAAGACTAAGATTTGCAAAAAATATTCGATCGATGTTGCAATGACATCTAATTTGTTATGTACAAAAAGTTTGATGCAGAGGCAACTCACGTTGCTTATTTTGGGCAATATCTCACATTTTAATAATTTGATTATTATTTTTAGATTGGTTTATCTTAATTTTAAAAGACCCATTACCTAAGGATTAGGTTTTATCTTCTTTTGATGTCGTTTGATTAAGCCGGACTTTGGAGCTCGTCATAAGTATCTTATTTGATATTTGTTTGGGGATCTTTTTTTATGGATAGAAAAGAATGAGACCTTTTCTGTTTGCATTTGTGATTCTTGACCATTTGAGTATTGTTTGCATCATTTGGTATCAAAGCACATGTATTGCATATGGTCGGACGTGGACGGAGGCAACGATGGAGAACTGAGAGACCCACAGGATGTTGAGATAGAGCGCCTTCAACAAAGGATTCGAGAGCTCGAACTATTAAGAGAGGTGCGAGAAGAGGAGACTAAGACAAATTCTAATGCGGGAGAAAGGGGAGAATATGAGGAGATGAACCCTTTTGCTAACCAACGGAATTTACAAAGGCATCCACATGAAGATCATGTACGCACTTTGGGTATCAAAGTTGAGATTCCTGACTTTGATGGTATCGCTCACCCTGATGATTTCATTGATTGGTTGAGCACGATGGAACGAGTCTTCGACTTGCGGGAGATACCTGATCATCTCAAGGTAAAACTTGTTGTTCTTAAGCTTCGTAAATACGCATCATTATGGTGGGATCACGTGAAAAAACAACGCATGCAAAAAGGGAAGTATAAAGTAAAAACATCGGTAAAAATGAAAAAGTTGTTGCAAACAAAGTTTCTTCCCATTAATCATTGCCAAGAGGCGTTTCTTGAATTCCATAGTGTAGCACAACTTGACTTATCGTTCCAAGAGTTTATAACTAAATTTGATCGGATGCGAATGAGGTATGCGATGGACGAGGAAGAAGAACACACCATTGCTCGTTTTCTTGGTGGTCTTCGAATTGAGATATCAGAAGTGGTCAAACTACAACAATATTTGACTTGTACAGATGTTTGTAAATTGGCTTTACGGGTAGAAAAACAGTTAAAGGGACGGGAACGAGCAATGACCAGTAAACATTTTTCCTCGTCTCGACCTGCTACAATACAAAACTCAAAACTCATTGCACCAAGGGTTGCTAACACTAACTCAGGTAAGACTACACCCGACATTACTTCTGCTCCGTCTATGCAACGTGTGATTCGTTGTTTTAAATGTCAAGGCATAGGACATCTCGCAAGAGATTTCCCTAACAATCAATTAGCAGCCTTGATAGATGACCAAATGCCCATTTATGATACAGTAAACGAATAGGAGGCAACAGATGATGAGGGTGAAGTTCTTTATGCGGATCAAGGGGAAGCATTGATAGCCCAACAAGTTCTAAATGTTGTCGTATCACAGCCAACTGATGGATATTTATGGCTTCAAAATAACATTTTCCACACTAAGTGCACGACTACGGGAAAGGTGTGTGATATCATAGTGGATGGGGGTAGCTGCAAGAATATGGTGGCCCATGCAGGAATTAACGATAATGCCTATAAGATAGAGCTTCCGGATCACTATAATGTTTCTGCTACTTTTAATGTTGCTGATCTCTCGCCGTATGAATCGACCAACGACGAGGAGGTGGACTCGGAGTCGAGTCATTTTCAAGCCCAGGAGGATGATGCAGATGTAGAGGCAACTCGCGTTGCTTATTTTCGGCAATATCTCACATTTTAATAATTTGATTATTATTTTTAGATTGGTTTATCTTAATTTTAAAAGACCCATTAATTAGGGATTAGGCTTTATCTTCTTTTGATGTCGTTTGATTAACCCGGACTTTGGAGCTCGTCATAAGTATCTTATTTGCTATTTGTTTGAGGATCTTTTTTTATGAATAGAAAAAGAACGAGACCTTTTCTGTTTGCATCTGTGATTCTTGACCATTTGAGTATTGTTTGCATCAAAGTTCATATGACCATTTCGCAGATATCATCTGGTACTGGCAATATCTATCTATGAAATGGTCATTATATATATATATATATATATATATATATATATATATATATATATATATATATATATATATAAGGTTAAGTTCAAATGAGAATACTATTTAATGTGAGAACGTGAGAACACTACTTTATGTTATTATTCTACTATGAATTTAATATGTATAGTATTGTAGTAATTATAATATGAATATATTCAATTTTATGTTGCTATTCTACTATAATATATATATATATATATATATATATATATATATATATATATATATATATATATAGTAATTTAGTAGATTCTAATGTGAATGTTAAATATGTGATTGTTCATATATTCGGTGATGAATAATGTCATAAAGGT